CATAGCATCTCCTACTCCTGGACCACTGGTTGGCTCCAGAAGAGGATTTCTTACATACTTAAGACTGCTTAGTGTTTTGTAGGAATAAGGAAATGCATAAATGGATGAAATTAACAAAATATCCAACGGTCCCTATTAAAGCAAAAGTCATTCAGCACAAAAAGTCAATGACTGTTACTTTTGTTTACTTACTATTCGACTGCGGGTAGCATTATCAAAAAAAGTATCTTTGTCTTTAATGTTGTATCTAAAATGTTGAGGGAAAAAAGAAAATAGTTATCTTTTCAGATGTGGTAGTAATGCACAAGATAACATATAAGACTTTGATTTAGAATTAATTTAGAAACCACAGCAAGTAAGAAAAACAGATGTTTAAAGGAAATATAGATTAAATAGTACAGCATAATAGACTGTGTTATTTAAGACCTAGTCATTCAGAGTTCTACCTGGATTGCAATGATGGTGGGCATAAAAATGCAAAAAATATTAACTAACATAAAATGCCTTTCAGGAAAGGAGCTTGTCTATTGTTTACACAAGATGACCTTTTAATCTTTTACTTATAACATACCCTCAACACTATAACATTCTGAGGTTATGTTATTAGGTTTCAACTAGACTAAAGCAGATGTTCATTACTATTTTCCAGGCAACTAACCAGTCAACATTTCACTTGCTTTCAAATAACCATTCCACTGGAATTATTAATTCCCTTAAACCTTAAAATCATTATATGTGAAATTACCCCTCCCAGTTTATTCCCTTCAATCAATTTGACTTGTATTTAGTATGAATTAAAATTGACAGAGAGAACAATTAATGATATGGTGTGTCATTATATTTATTACTGATTTTTATTTATCAGACATAAATACAAGGAGACACCCATGAGGAAAAAAGAAGTGATTAATGTCAAACTGGACCCACAAGTATTATTTTGAGTGAAAGGGCAAGTGTCAAGAATTCCTTATCTGCATATTATTAGCTAAGCTTTAATTACTATAATAAATCTATCAAGAGGAAAAATATTATTCAATTTCTACTAGCTCTTTCTTTTTTTCAAAACAGACAGTAATATCCTTAACCAAATAATCAGGAATTTGGTGCTAGGATTTTTTTCATTTCAAGGTAAAAAGATATATATTTTATCTGTTGCACTGCTTCCAGTGCCTTATCCAGCAGAAGGAAGTAGAACACTGGCAGAAAGTCTCTGCAGCTTAGATTTCTGTTAATCCACTGAAACTGAACTCAGGACCAATGTATGTTCATTTATTTTAGATCTATTTACTTGGCCTTCAATAAATTTAATTTTATGCAGACCTATGCTTTAATCACTTGAAAATCTTATCCAGGAATAATCTGACAACTTGGATATTTCCTCAGGATTTCCAGAAATAATGAATTTCTGAATTTTGATTGAAATACTGGTAGAAAAAAATAACATTAAAATGATAATTTATATCTTTCTTCATTGTTCATCACAATTTAAGGTACTCACAAATATATTTTCTCTCTGGAAAATGGGTAAGACAGGCTTTTCATGTTGGTATTTTTTTGTTGTGGCACCTGGGGTTGCAGAGGTTCAGTCAATTTGCACCATAATTCATTTAACGTTTTGAGTATTCCCCCTTCTTCTGTGATTTCGTACATCTGAGTAAATAAAATATCGTACATTAGCATGTCACTTCCAAAAATCCACTAAAATAATAATTTTTGAAAAAGATAGAATTTGCTGTACGTGTGTTTAAATATGTGTTTAAAATAAATGCCTTCTCTGAAGACACTTTCCCATATAACAGCAAGCACCTGAATCCATAATGGTTTCAGTTCCAAAAAGAAGTTCTTGTCCTTCACAAGCTACTTGCAGAGGAAAACTCAATGCAGAGGAATTATTTTGACTTTGTAAGTGGGGATAGAGGGAGCAAACAAAGCAGGAAGGCCCTTTACCTGCTGCCAATTATACTGCCTGGGTAATAATCATTAGTATGGTCTGACAGCAGATGTACACGTGCCATTAGAGCTGAGGATGGCATGCTCATGTCTATGCGGCAGTTTTAAGTGCAAGGACTTAGCTCTTGCTCACTCACATTGATGTGATGTGCTACAGAGCTTCCCAAAGATACAAAGGGTTTTTTTCCTGAAACACAGGCAACCTTACCAAACATGAGTTTGTCCTCCTCATAAGATATTTCTTCCAGCCCTTTCACCAGCTCTGCTGCCCTCCTGTGGATGCACTCAAGGACCTGAATATCTTTCTTAAATGAGGCCCAGAACTACACACAGCACTCCGAGTTAGGCGGCACCGACGATGAATACAGCAGAATTGTTGCAGATGTAGCAATATAGCAGAATAATCCCCTCTTTTGGCTGGCTGGTTATACAGTGTTTGATGCACCCCAGGCTGGAGTTTGCCCTCCTGGCTGCCAGGGCAAACTGCTGATTCACACAGAGCCTGCTGTCAACCAGCACCCCAGGTCCCTTTCTGCAGGGCTGCTCTCCAGCCACTCCTCTGTGGGAACATTTCTAGAAGAATGTGGACACGACTGTATAGTCCTGAATTAGTATGTGACTGCAGGCACATAGCTGCGTCCTTGGAGTCACCTTGAAGGCATAAAAGAAGGAAATAGCGCAGTTTCAAAACCACAAAACAGAGGCTAAGCGGAGTTGCCCAGGATGGGGGTGGAATTGAGTTGAAACAGAAAAACCCAATCACGTTAGTTTTAGGCGTGGGGACAGCGCATGGACAAGCCAATGAACCAATGAATGTAAACCGAGTCTTATATAAGTTTGTTGATGTTGTGAATAAAGGTCTTCGCTTATAACTCTTATAGAGTTGTTAGAAGTCAGTTATCTTTGCCGCCAGCACTCCTCTACCAGTTTATACTTGTGACCAGTCTTACTCCATCCCAGGTGCCGAATTCAGCATTTGTTCTTGAATTTCATGCCATTTATTATTGCCTGATGTTCCAATCTATCTAGATACACCTCCAAGGTCTCTTATCCCATAGAAGGGTCAACAGCACCTCCCAGTCTAGTCTTACTGGCAAACTTGCTAAATGGTGAATTCAACTCTTGCATCCAAATCATTGATAAGTATTTTGAACAGAGCTGGCCGTAGAATTGAGCCCTGAGGAACACTGCTGATGACTGGTCACCTGCCAAACATGACCTCATTCACTACAACTCTCTGATCCCTGCCATTCAACCAGTTCTTCACCCAGCGCACCGTGGACCTGTTCCTGTCACAGCTGCACAACTTGTCCGGAAGGATACTGCAAGGGACACTATCAAAAGCCTTATGAAAATCCAGAAAAAAGTACATTCACCACCTCCTCATCATCCACTAGGCAGGTAACTTTATCACAGAAGGATACTAAATTAGTTAGGACTTTCCCTTCATGACACCATGTTCACTCTGCATTGTCCTTTAAGTGCCTTTCAACAGCACCTGGAATGATCGTCTTCATAAATTTACAGGTACTGAGGTTAGACTAACAAGTCTATCGTTTCCTGGGTTTTCCCTCATGCTCTTCTTGTAAATTGGAATAACACTGGCAAGCTTCAAATCAGCAAGGGTTCCTGTGGACTCCCAAGTCCTTTGGTAGATCGACAGGCATCCTGCTGTAATGTCAGCTAACTGCTTCAGTACTACTTCAATAATTCAAAAAGCCTTTTTGTTGTCTGACACTACACTGGCCAGTTTAAATTCTAGCTGAGTTTTGGCCTTGCACGTTTTCTCACTGAAAATGCAAACCTCAGCCCCGTAATCTTCCTGCAAAGACTGACCTTACTTCCAGACGTGGTACAATTTCTTTTCCTTCTTGAATTCCATTAGGACTTCCCTGTTCAACCAATTGGTCTTCTGCCCCGCTTGCTTGACTTACAACATGCTGGAATTGCCTACTCCTGTGCTTTTAAAAGGTGATTCTTAAAAACTGACCAGCACTCATGAACCCCTAACTCCTCAAAAGCAGATTCTCAGGGAACAGTGTTAAATAGCTCCCTGAGTAACTTAAAGTTTACTCCCTTGAAATTTAGAGTAAGAAATCTGCTGACCTTTTTTTCACACTACACTGAAAATGGTAACTCAATCATTTTCTGATCACTGTGGCCAAGACAGCCACCTACTATCACATCTCCCATCAATCCTTCTCTATTCAAAACCAGCAAATCCAGGAGGTCATCTTTCCCAGTTGGCTCACAGAATACTTGTGACAAGACATTATCTTCAACACACTTCAGGAATTTCTCAGACTTGCTTGTCACAGCAGTATTCCCAGTTAATGTCTGGGAAGTTGAAATCTCCCATAAGGATAAAGTTTACTGATCCAGAAATTTCTCCTAACTGCCAATAGAATAATTAATCAGTGCTATCATATTATTCCTAACTGCAAGGGCTGTACAGTCAGACTTCTCCCTTACACACAGTACAACTCCTCCACCCTGCCTATCCCTCCTGAACAACCTGTAGTTGTCCATCCCAACTTCCAGCTGTGAGACTCATTCCATGAAGTCTCACTAATACCAGAGACATCATCACTCTGGGAACAGACCAGTGCTTCCAGTTGGTCCTGTTTGTTTCTCATACTGTTTTTTCTCATACTAGTATTTGAGTGTGGCCCATTCTCACTCATCAAAGATAACTGTATTGTCATACACACATATAGTTAAAATTGCTCAAAAAGTACCTTTTCCCAGCATGTCAATTGTCCTGAAAAATTATCTAAGACTGAACATTAGAAAAAAAAAGAAAATTTGCAACCAATTCATCATGTTTAGAGGTGGATAAATGCTTTCCACTGAAAATGCTTTACTTATGGTTTCACTGGATGTTTGAATAAATAAAAATAGCATCACTGAAAATACCTAAAGTGCCTTGAAAACAACCTCACTGAACAAAACCAGAATTTTTTTTTTAGTGGTTTCTAGCTGACTTTTTCTGTTTGTATTGCCAAATCCCCAAAATACAAGATTACAGTTTTTCAAAGTGGATTTTTTGTTTTCTTCACAGGAAATTCTTCTTCCAACTGTCTTTAATTGCAAAAAACTTAAGATATGAACAAAATTTTCCTGTCAAGCTTGCTTCTTGGTAGGGCATTGGTAATGCTCTGTATTTGCTGTTAAGATAACAGGAAAATAATGTAGTCAAGAAGAATTGTCAGCAAACTTCTCCTTAATAGTGTCATATCACTTTTAAGTTACACAAAAAAAACTTATTACCCTAGGGCATATTTTCAGGAAAATTGAGATCTGGTTTCCTTATTATTAGCCATATTTAATTCCGTCTTCTTCTACACAATAAAACAAATTACAGATACAAACCTGAATGCTGTTTTCATAACTGCCTAATCAGTGACTGCATGCCCATTTGTTCTTTGAATATTTGTCATACTATTCAATAAATGCCAGTTATATGGCAATCTCATTCAACATAAAGTGTGTGCAGACCTGAGTGGTTATTTTAAAGAAAAGGATGCTATAAATAATGTATAATATATAGTTGTTAAATGAAGTCTGTCAATATTTTTAGATGCCTTTATCCCAGATGATTCTGTCTTTATGGTTTTATGATTTACTGTGCATTTTTTCTTCCATTCCGAGGAGAGAAGTGGATGAGGACCTGTTCGTGAGTGACTAGGATGGCTACTGGAGGCTATCAGCTCCTGGAAACCTTAACTCAGAACAGCACGATGGCAACATTCCTCAATTAAAATAGTGTGGTGGGTTGACCCTGGCTGGCTGCCAGATGCCCACCGAAGCTGCTTTATCACTCCCTCTACTAAGCTGGACAGAGGAGAGAAAATAAAATGACAAGCTCGTGGGAAAAGATAAGGACCGGGAGAGATCATTCAGCAATTACCATCATGGGCAAATTAATTATCATTTGGGGAAAATTAATTTAGTTATCAATCAAATCACAGTAGGATAATGAGAGATAAAAACTGAACCTTAAAAACTCTTCCCCTCTCCCCCTTCTTCCTGAGCTTAACTTCAGTGCTGATTTCCCTACCTCCTCCCTCCAAGCTGCACAGGGAGATGGAGGTTGTGGTCAGTTCATCACAACTTTTTTCTGCTTCTCCTTTCTCCTCAGGGGGAGAACTCCTCATGCTCTTCTCCTGCTCCAGTGTGGGGACCTTCCCAATGGGAGACAGTCCTCCATTTACTTCTCTCACATGAATCCTTCCCATGGGTTACAGTTCTTCGCAAACTGCTCCAGTGTGGGTCCCCTCCACAGGGTGCCATCCTTCAGGAGCAGCCTGATCCAACGTGGGTCTCCCATGAGGCCCCAAGTCCTGCCAGCAAACCTGCTCCAGCCTGGGCTCCTCTCTCCACAGGGTCGCAGCTCCTGCCAGGAGCCCACTCCAGCGAGGGATGAGGGATGCCCATGGAGTCACAGCCTTCCTTGGTCATCCCCCTGCTCCCGTGTGAGGTCTTCCCAGAGCTGCAGGCAGGTCTCTGGTCCCCCATGACCCTCCATGGCTGCAGGAGGACAGCCTGCCTCACCATGGTCTGCACCATGGGCTGCAGGACAAACCCATCTGGCACCTGGAGCACCTTCTCACCTGACCCTGTTGTCTGCGGAGTTTTTTTTCTCTCACATATTCTCACTTCTCTCTGGCTGAAGTTGTTATCACACACATTTTTCCCCCCTTCTTAGATATGTTATCCCAGAGGTGCTACCACATCCCTGATGGCTTGGCCTCGGCCAGTGACAGGTCCATCTTGGAGCTGTTGGCATTGGCTCTATCAGACATAGGGAAGGCTTCCAGCAGCTTCCCACAGAAGCCACGCCTGTAGCCCACACACTGCAAAAACCTTGCCAAGCAAACCCCATACATAATGTAAGATTTGCTTTATTGTTTCTGCAAAAAGCTAGAAGAGGAAAATTCCCATGAGGAAAGAAGGAGGGAGAACAGAGCAGACAATAAAAATGCACAAAGGAAACACAATACAGTAAGAGTATACAAGACTGGCTTGGCCAAGCCCCTGACAGTGACAGATTGTAACACCGTAAGAAGTGAACAACACTGAAGCTTTTGCTGGGTGGAAACAATCAATATGAAAAAGAAGAAGAAAAAAAAAAAAAACCAACAACAAAACTATAACAACAACCTCAGGGTAAAAAATAAAATTGGCATTTTATTTAATTATAATGACAACACAGTGAAATAAATGTTCAGTAGTGCAATTGATGAGTATCACTAACTGAAAGCACAGGGCAGTTTCATTAACTTCAGTGGAGTTGTTAGTCAGGGAGTTAAATCCTTTTGGGACAACAAATTTTTGGGATCTGCTCCTCAGAATTTACAATGTTTGCCAGCAACCCTCCTGAAAGCTCTAGATATTCTCAATTACTACAACTGTAAAGAAGAGAGTGAGCCAAAGTTTTAATGACGAAGGGCAAGTCTGAACACTTTGTCATTGATACCATGAAAATAGACTCCCTTGGCATCCCCAGACTTTAGAGAAATCTTAAGGCAATGACCACTGATCACACTATCTCCCATGCTGCACCTCACCTTTGAGGAAGGTTCCATGACAAAATTCCAAATAGATACTGCCTTCTCAGCTTTCAAAGCCCTCCTTAGAACTCACCTCTGTCATCACCCTTCTGAATGCAATCTGCCAGCCAGCTGCATCTGTGACCTTTGAAATCCTCTTTGAAAATCTCCTCATAAATCTGACTCTGAATAGTAAGTCATCTCAAAATAATTAGTAATATGAAAAAAATAAGCTTGGCAGTTCATTTGCTCTAAATTTGAAAGAAAGTAACTCTATGGGCTTCTATATATTTAACTACCATTCTGATCCTCCCTTCTCCAGACATACAAGTAGTGGATAGAAGATGGAAGACACTTACCTTTTTAGTGGGCATTTTTATTTTTAGGAGTTCCGCTTCTCTACTAAGTACTTGCCAAGGTGCATGTATACGGACAAAACTTAATCCTTGGCTTTTATTCTGAAACATAAAATAGTGAAAACAATGTATTTCAATATTATGGAACAGAATACAACAATAAGGTTTCAAGATGTCAACTCCAACTAAATCACACAACAGTAGGCAATCTCAGTGAACAGCCAACCTCTGCTACTATTGAGCTTAGAAGTGATCTTTTCTTTAAAAGCTGAATCTTCCAATGCTTCATTAATCTACTGCCCACAGTGTAGCTGTGTGGGCATCATGAAGACAGAAGTCTACATTTCCAGATTTTAGAATTATGTGCAGCAGAAACACCAGGTTACTGCTTCCATACTCAGATATTTTGTAAATCATTTGACTACATTAGTGGGTTTTTGTGCCCACCTGAATCCACAAAGATAAAAACATCTCTTCTGCTCTGGGTGGGCTTTTCAGGTTCCCATTTATAGGTTTGCCCACCTATTTCCTGGACATTTCATCAGATTAGTAGTTTGTTACAAGAGAGCAGGCCCAATATTACTGCCCTAAATACCTGCAGCTGGAGCAGCAATACTAAACAAAACATTCAAATTTAACTTCTGAAGAGAGACATGATCCTAATGTTTATGTAAATAACTGGATATGCTGTGCAGAGGCAGAAGACCACACAAGAGGGTCTCTGAACAGCCAGTTTGCTGCGTTCTGGACTGTTGAGTGGGTGTTGTTCTGGTAGCATCTGAGCCATACAAAGGCACTCTAAGAGCAGAAAGCAGCACTCCTAGAAAAAAGCATGGAAATAAAATGTAGGCATGTTGATAGAGACTTTTCCTTAATGCACACAAATAAATCAGTAAATCATACAGACGAATGCTTACTGTGGACATGAAGGGAATAAGACTTGGGAGAGAAATTATAAAGAGGATGTGAAGGCATAAAATAGGAAGGACATGGAAGTGGACGGGGGAGACTTTAAAGGCTTGATTAACGCAGAGATTAATGATCTTTGGGTAGCTGTGTGCATGCTGGGGCCTTGGTGCAAGGGTATACTGTCACTTTACATTTTCCCATCCATATGTATCTAAGGATCAGGACAGTCCCCTCCCTTCAGGGATGCGTGAACCTCTATTTGCACTTCCTCATGTATTCTAAAATCTAGAAGTGAGACAAGAAAACTGAAGCTGAATGTACAACTTGATGAGAAACATAGGTGGGTTACATGTTGAGCTGAAATGCAAATCTCGGGCGCCCCACCTATGACTAGTTGTCTGTTATATGTACAAACTTGCATATGTTTAGAGGAAGAATGTTAATGGACGTAGCTTAATGTCACTATAATCAACAGGCAGTGTAGCTCTACAAAGCTGGGAGCATAGGCCATATCCATGGAAATTTAGTACCTTTTTATGGAAATTGACTCCAAGAAAGTTCTCTTTCTCAAAAGTTTTAAGTTAAGAAAAGTTTTAAGCAGAAATATGAGTCACAGTCCCAATATATGTCTAAATCTGAAAGACTACTGTAGCACATTTGCCTCAGAAAAGACTCTCCTCTTAGCCAAAGTGTGGTTTTTGTTTGTTTGATATAAATTTTACGCAAAACAAACAATTTCCAAATAAAGCTGTATCATGTCATATTGGCATGAGCATTTTAGAACCAGTATTTAATGTTTTCAAACTGTATAAATGCTGACAACTTCATGTAAGCACCAGACAGGCATTTGCTGAATGTTCATAATGCTTCCTGATTTAAAAAAAAAAAAAAAAAAAGGTGGAAATCCTGCTATTATTACTGCATTCATTTTCCTCTTATTTCCCTTATAGATTCAACATCAACTACAAAGATCACTACATCACTTTCAGCTAACGTTTCTTCAGTGCAACAATGTTATTTTAAAGAACAGAATGAGCTGCAGAATGACTCTTTCATCAGTCCACTGGGGAAGTCAGCTTTAAGAGAAGGAAGTAAAAATTTACTGGGAATGAGCAGATGTTCTGGTAATCATTTGCTGAAAGTATATTAATAACAGATGAGAGTTTAAATTTCAGTGGGTGAAGATGAGGAGGCTTCTTCTCAGCTTTTGGCTAAAACTAAGCATGTGTCCTCTGTCTGGGGGACCATATTCCACATTGGCAAGATGAGGGACAGTCTGATCTAATTGGTTGTTTCCAGCTCAGGCTCATATGACTACACAGATTGCAAATAAAATCAGTCAGATAATTTGAGAGAGAAAACCAGATGAAGAATATGACCTTTGTATATTTGAACAAAAATATGTTGGGAAGTTGTGCTGTTCATGAAGTGATATCAGATGCTGAGGAATCAGAGCCTTTAAAATCTTTAAAAGCCTTAAAAATCACCCCACAATAGGAAATACAGATCATTTTAATAAAGACTGATGCAAAGTAAATAAAGTAGGGAAAACAGGACCAGGTGATTTCTGTTGCATGGTATACAAAAAGTGCAGAAAATTAGACAGCTGAATATTTATCTTGGGATCACTAAACCATGTTCCTTATAACTTCCTATATTTTTCTAACATCAAAATTCATCAAAGAAATATTAAAAGAAAAGAAAAAATTAAATCATCAATCTCATGTCTTAAGGGATAAACCATCTACCTAGTTTTCCACCAAAATATAAACCTATGTCAGCTACTCCTCTGGTAAGGCGCTATTCCCCATTTCTCAAGTATTCACCTGCAGTAGTTCCAGTTGTCAGTTTTCCTGCCCTTTTTTGTCATCATCATTATGACTGGAGAAGGTCTGAATGTTCAACTATCTTATTCCCAGGGTGCTTATTGTATTGCAAACACTACCAAAAGTTAGAGTCCATTTTTCTCGTTGCCAGAGTGGATTTATAACTGTCTACTGGAGACATCCACTAAATTGTATATTTTGGTTAATCACCTGAAACGTTCAAGATAAATGTGTTCCTGAATACAATATTTGCTGTAATGAAAAGCTGTCAGTCTTCTATTTTGAATACTCACAATCACCATAGCTAATTTATTGTACTCTAGATGTATCACTAAAGCTAACATGTGCTGGCTAATGTTATTTTTTGTTTGACCGTTCATTTGTTATTTAATACAGTGATCCTTAATCAGGTCCTTTTTCACTTAAAGCTGATGTCCCACAGGACTTTATTCTTGGCCCTGCATTATCTATGTCTATATCATTGCATTCCCTGATTATATTACTGAAATGACTAAGTATTGCTATGCAGATGACAAACAGATTTGTTGCTCTCATGATCCATTTTTTGCCAAATCTATATTCCATATTACAGAGTTCTTCCAATAAGTTTCAAGAGTGGAAGTTTTTCAATAAGTTGGTTCTGCATTATTCAAGATATATTTACATCTTGGCTTCTTTTCTATTTTCTAAAGTTGAATTAGACCTTCCCATTTCAGTAAGAAAACTCAGCATTAAAGTCAAATAGAAGAAAATCTGGAAGGTCTGGTTTGTTTTTCAATCAGCATATGGAGAAAAATATATCAGACATTTCTTTCAGTTTGTCATGTATTCCTCGTAGTTTAAAGCAGGACTTTTACAGCAGTTATTGCATTTTTTTCTGTCTTAAAGCAGAAATGTACAGGCTGAATAAAATTCAAATTTCTCCAAGGAGACTTTTTCTATGTTTTATGTCTTAACAGTAAAATACATTAGCACTTGCATTAGCTGCAAGTCTAAGATTTATTGCAATCTTATCGTCATCACGGCCATAGCAGAAAAAAATGTATGAAAGCTATGAAAGCTCTCAGATAGATGTATATAAAGAATGTACTCTTATTGATTATAACTTGACTGCTGAAAACTCAGAACTTGATTGTTCTTTTGAAATAAAAGCTGGATTTTCTGAAACATGCTTAGACAAGAATAATAGCTACGCTAAGTAGAAAAGCTCTCTCTACGCATAAAATTAGATTTGTCATTAAACTTATTTTTCTACAAAAGTCAGAAGTAAGAATTTTGTCATTCTAAATTTAGTAACATATCTGTAATTCTCACATACTCTGAAAGTTACAGTAGTATAACTATAAAATGGAATATTTTTGAACCGTTATAACACAGTTACCATATTTTTATTAATCTTTTCCAGTTCACAGTTTCTCAACTTCAGCCCTTGTAGGGACAGGCCACAGATTGAGATGTACCGTTAAGCAACAGGAGATCATGGAGAAATCCTGCTGCTCTGTAAGAGCACAGCATGTAACCAGTGGAGTACTGCGTGTCCAGCTCACAGATTTATCATAGTGCCATTATTTTGTCAGGCCAATTTGACTCCCACTTTACTTCATTCAGACAAACCATTTGTCATCTGTCAGCCATGTCACCTTAAGATGACATGTTCTCAACAGTTTAGACACCTCTAATATGAGTTAAACCACGTGATGTTAAAGGTATCATATTTGGCACTCACAGTCAAGACAACAAAAAGGGTAAAACCAATAATTATACTCTCAGAGAGCCTCAGCCTTTTTTTGTGGTCAGCATATTGTTCCTAGCAACTCTGCAAATACAAAATTCATTCCTGAATGCTACATTTTAGTAATCCTTTCTCATTATTTCCTCATCATGAAAACACTCATCGTTCCTTCTACCTTAAAGGAATACAGTTGTATATAATATATATTAAAGGAAATAAGTTACTTTTAAATACTTCTCCAAAGAAATAGATATCTGCTGTGTATCTTAATAGGAAGAAAAGTGAAACAATAAAGGGTAGAAAGAAGCTGAACAGAAGTGATTAACTACTGTCTAAGGGAGTCCAAGGGAACTGCTAATCGCATGTTTTTAAAAAAATTATACATAAGAAATGGAAAGGCATAAATTATAAAACCTGAAGCATATAAACTTCCTTCTTAAAAAGGCAAACTCTCTGAGCCTTAAAGATTTTATCCTTCTGTGATTATTAAATAGACAGAAAAATACCAGTTACAAACACACAGCAACTTTCCAATGGTTTCAGTTAATATAACCAGACATCTTTTGCTGACATCGGTAATACCAGCCACACTAGGAAAGCAACAATGAGACAGTGTGTAGAGAGGAAAAAAAAAA